GCCTGTATATGGTCATGATGTGATGTCATCATGACCATATTTAGGCATGTTACATGTTTTTGTGAAATGAAATTCTGTAGTCTGGACAAGGATTTAAGCTCTGTCCACACCATCAAATTTCCTTTGACAAAAAACTGTTGTATGCCCATATATAGTCATGATGTGCCTATATATGGTCATGATGTGATGTCATCATAACTGTTGTATGCCCATATATAGTCATGATGTGCCTGTATATGGTCATGATGTGATGTCATCATGACTATATTTAGGCTTGTCACATATTTTGTCAAATAATATTTGAAAGTCTGGACAGGGCCTCTAAAGTACTTCACTGAAGACTTTGCTAAAAAGAGTAGTTTAGCTTAGTTGGTAGAGTGTAAGAATGGTACAGTACTCCGAATGGCACTGGATTGATTTAAATAGGTCCGTACTTTCTTTGATTCACCTAAGTGTATTTATTGAATTTAATACAGTATGATACAGCAAAAAATATAAAACTCCTAAAAATATGAGAAATTAACGAAAGAAAGAGAAAGAATAAAAGTAAAATGTAGAAAGATTTTATAGATACAGTGTCTAAATACAAAGTACATTACAATGATATTCACCTGTCATATAATTATACTGTATAACAATAAACAAACAAGGCATTTAAGACAGTATTAAGTTATATTTATGACGGTGTATTCAGTAGTTGAACTTGCTTAAGTTGAATCCACAATGGCATTGAAAAAGTGTTAGACTTTGACTTAAAAATTTGACTTATTTGAGTCAGGCAAAGTTGTCTTGGGCAAGTTTAACTGTATTATAATATGTTTTTTTTTTAAAGGAATTTCAACAAAAATTCATGCCTACACAATGATAAGCTCACTATTTGTTTTGTTGACCTTTGACATAGGCATGCATAGTTGAAGCAATAGGAGGGTTTATATGGCAACATATTTAATAGGCTACTACTCATTCAGACGTGCTTTTGACCTTGTAAAATCTTGTAAATTGAATACTGTAGTTTGGAACAAAAATGTGAAAATTAAATCTTTGAAACTTTATGATTTGTGTCAATAATTTGGTGTCATTAAAATGTTTTATCATGAGAGCTTGGAGGCGCCATTGGAAGCGGTAAGTTCCCTACGGCCACAACTCATCGGACAAAAAAAAAACCTCACTTAAAAATAAAAATTAATTTGTTTTGCGTATAAATACAGTACATTCTAGAATGTTGGAGCAGCTTAATAAAATGATCCAAATTCTTAGTTTATGTAATTGTGGCTAGGCCACAATTGCTTGCCGTCATTGGAAATTAGTCCCCTGATGGTATCCTACAACCACCACTGCATGAGGGTGGCCCATTCAAACTCTGGGCCCTTTACACAGAGGCCTAGTTATTAGCATTTAGTTGAGACTTATTTATACCTTGTTTCACAAACTTAAGTTTTTTAAGATCGTCAGAGGAAAACGGAAAAAAAAATAGAAATAAAATTTTGTTTTATTATGTAGCAGATAGTTTTGCCAAAAACATTCAGACGGAGAAGAAAATAAAAACGAAATTTTATTGGTGAATATAAACAGTAGTAATGGGATGGTTACATGCTTTGAATTTATATAATTAGGAAGAAATTTTCATATATTATTTTTGGCGATTTTAAGGGAGTGGTGGGTGTAAAAAAGATAAAGAAAAACTTCTTTTTTTTTTTGAAATTTTCATTTTTTTCAAAACGGTGCACTAATTGTCCAAAAATCAATTGTTATTTTTGTTTGAATTCATCATTATTGACAGGCAGCAGGTTCACTAAATTTGATATAAAAAAAGTCTTGCCTTAAATAGAAATTATTTTATGAAATAGCTATGGTAAATCAACAACTTTTTTATCTGTCTAATAAGAAGTGGATAATGAATGGTGTTTCAAACAAGAAAAAAAAATGTTTAATTTAATTTATTTTTGGCTACTATTACAATAGAATTTACTAATTTTATATGTAATATTTCTAATTTATTAATTTAATTTAAATAACAAGAATTTGTGTATTGAACAGACGCGTTAAAAACATACACCTGTATGCATACACAATTTAGTTCATCCATATTCATAATGTCACCATGGAAATCAAATTTCGCGCGACCATGTTCCAGTCTGGTTGCATAACGCATGCGCAGTTGTGATGTGACAGCGGATCATGGCGGCCGATTTTCAAAGTAGAGAAGCTTTGCAAAGGATTTTTGTCCTAAAGTAGATTTCTGGACCAGAATGTGATTTTCTACAATGGCAGAAAGAAGAAGAATTATACCTTCTTCGGTTGGACCTTTTATTAAGCAGGAAGAGGCAAAACCAAAGAAGCCAACACTACGATTTACACTATCGTTAGCCGAGTCGAACGAACGAGAATGCTCCGAATTTAGTTTCTCTCAGCTTATGAAAAATGCACTGGTAAGTTAATTCTACAACGAAATTTATGTTGAAAGTAACTCCTATATTTCACTATAAATTGTTCTCGAACTTAATCTACTTTTCCAGTGAATTTTCTGCAGAATTTTATTAGGATTTGTATTGGAATCTAAAAGTCTGTACACCGGCGTGTGCGACTAGAATTTTGACAAATATTTTTGTCTAGATTTTCTTTCCCCGATTCTATCCTTTGTTAGGTATATAGAATATGTGGCAAACCTATTCTAACAGCAGGAAGACGATTAGAATTGATTTGGTCGCCATATTTTTCTCTTTCACTGATTCTACATCGTGTCAGAATCGTAAGAAAAAAGGGTGATGTTCGAAATAGGTAGATGATGCTGTTTATACCGTTTGCGTGCGAAATAATGCGTTCTTATTTATTACGGGTTGTTAGTAGAGAAAAGATAGTGAAATAGTGAACGAATTTCGGTCGAAATTTGTCGCAGTTGAATGAGGGGTCATTTGATAAACGTTTGGCGTATTGTGTATGCATGTTTAATGTGAGTAATTAAGTTATGTGGTGGTTTTTGCGTGTAGGGTCAAGGGTGTGTTGAGCGATGACGACTGCTGCATTCTCTGCTGCTGTACTGGCGTTGCGCGAAGTAGGCCAAGGCACATGGAGTGGAAATTTTGTTTATGGGGAATTTTTTTTGTGGGATTTCGGAAAGGATTTTGATAGCAAAGATTTATGGAATGCTGTGTTTAGATTTAAATACGCTAGGCTAGGCCTAGACTGAAATATCTACAACAGAATATGCTACTGAATTTAATTGATGTGTTAATATAAACTTAGACTATGAATGAATGTTTTTTTATACAGTTGGTTGTTGGTGAAGCAAAATATTTTTAGAAGTTTTTTTTACATAATTTAATAAGTTTTTCATGTATTGTACATCATATGATTAGATAAGGCTGGGTCCTGATATTGTACTGTGACAGTAGATAGGCTAGCTGATCAATTATTTTTAAATTTTGTTTTACTACTTTTTTTTTTTAAATAATTCTACAATATTAAAATTTTTGTTTTATATAATTAACACTGAAATTGTTCAATATTCCAAATAATTTTAAAATTTGTTTCCCTTTTGTTTTTTGGACAAAATATCTTTAAAAATTTGAATTTTGTTGGCTATTTTTTTAATTGATATTTCTTAAAAATACAATTATTTTAATTTTAGTCCTAGGCAACTACAGATAGAAAGTAATGTCATGTTTTGGACAATTTTTGCAAACAAATTTACATAATTTATTCCATAAAATAGTGATTGAACTTTCAATAATTGTTTATTGGTAGTACAATCATAAAATATTTATGATTCAACTTTAAATTAACAAAAATTATTTGATTTGTGATCATTTGTGGTTTATGTAGGAAAAAGATGTTAAAAAAGCAACAATGTTAGCAATTTGAAATATTTCTATGGTTCTAAAAAAATGTTCTGAATACCAAACTGTAACATTGCCATACTGTAATGTAAAATTTTTCTGCAATATCTTTAAAATTGTAAATATTTCATTTATTTAGGGAGATGAGGTTGAACAACCGGAGCCAAAATTCAACGAGCTCGAAGAAGATGACCTTACAGGAATGGCAGCCTTGGCGAGGAAATTTGAACAGAAATATGTACGTATAACTTTAAAATTGGTTTACAATTTATTATAAAAATGAAAATAAATAATAATAATGCTGAATTTTTGCAGCATGTAGATATATGCACTATATAAACAGAAAAGCAAAAAACAAAAAAAAAAATTAAAAAAAATATTTCATAGAAAAGCAGACAAATTTAGGCTCTGTCTGTTTCAAATGTGTGTGCTGTTTTGTCAATATATGGGCATGGTCATCATATCACACCCTTGTATGGGCAACTCACAGGTATTTTGTCATTGACATTGTGGGCAGATTTTTTTAAGCCACTCCACTTTATTTTATTCAAAAATACAACATGGTAAATTGAATATTTAATAAGTGTCCAGATGTTGTTGACTAGGCCTACATCGCTGCTCATAGGACATTAACAAAGAACAGAGTTGAGCATACCATAATATTAAAGTCCCCTTTCCAGGTGAAATTATACATGGGAAATTATGAAGATGTTTGATAAATGCTATAATGATTTTTATAAAAAATATAAAAAATCAGTAAATTATTTAAATTGTGTAATATTTTTAACTGAGAGAGAATAGATTTAGATTTTGTTAAAAAATGTTATAGATTTAATTTATTAGAATTGCAATACTAATTTTTTTAAGAAATGCTTTTAAGATGAAACTGGTATCAGTATGATTATTTAATCCTGCCACAGTCATGAAAATAGAAATATCCTCTATGTTTCATCCAAATGATTGGCTATTTTATGGTGCATGGCTTCATTAATTAATCCTAGACACACCTACACACTGACATCTCTATAATACTGTAATGAACATTATTTTATCACCTTTTTAATTTTAACTTTATTAAAGAATAGAAGTAACATTAACTAATGTTCACTCTCTTTTCCTTATCCCATTAAGTTGGCTTTCTACTCGTATCCAAAGTCGGTCACATGATCATATTCTGTTATTAATATTTGCCAATTATCTATGCCCTGAAGGTCAACGGTTTATCTATGCTTGACTAGCTCATGTTCAGCAAACATCAGCTTATTTTAACTTCATTGTTGTCTGCTTCTGTAGCCATTGCTACAGACAATAAAATCACCATTGGTCAGTTTCTTTCATATTTTTTTTTTTTTTTTGTGATTTTAGAACCTAGGCTGGCCCAAGTAGTAATTCTGATTTAGTTTGAATAATTAGTTCTATCATAACACTCAATTAGAACTAATTAAATAAAAGAAATAAACATTGTTAAAAAAAAAAAAAGAATCATTAAGCATTATTTTGTTATAGCAGTGATATGATGCATGTCCACAGTGGCATGGCGTAAGGAGGACTCTCAGGGCCCGGGGAAGAGAAAATGTCCCTTCACAGTATTACAATTCAATTAAAATTCTATGTGACCTTGGGGTGTCTTGCTGGACCATAATGTAATGTCATGCCTCTGTTAGAAGAGTGCTAGTTATTATTAGGAGGGGCCCAGTGCTTCGTCTCCCAAGGACCATAGGCATTACGCCACTGCATGTCCACATGCGAGGCTTAAATGAGTAATAATAATATAGCATTTACGAGGGAATGGCTAAATAATGTTTTATATAAAATTTGAAAACTTTGTATTACTTTTATGTTATATTTTAGATAAAAGCTTATCCTTGATATTTAATTTGTACACTTAATTTTTCATACATTACTCACATTATATACCTTATAATAAAAAGCAACTACCGCCACCCCTGTGTTCCCCTAACCACCCACTTCCACCCATAATTTTCTTTTATATGAATTCTAATTTGATAATTATGCATTGCAACCGAGAGTATTAATATATAATTGGTTAGTAATTCATGCTCATATGTATCTAATAATAATGAAAATGATAGTACTAGAAAAGCTGATCATTATAGCGCCCTCAATCAATGCTCTAGTTTTGTAATAACACTTAGGGAGTGGATTTGTTGTCTCATAGTATATTCGACATGATACTCTCCGGACTCAAAACTCTACCTGATGATAAGTTGCGTTGGGCTGTGTCGTACGACGCTGTCTGAGTTGACCTTTAAACTGAACATGGCTGTTCATTTTATTTCAAAGTGAGGTCGCCAATGTTTTATCTGGCGACCTTTAATATCTGACTAATAAAATATTCATATTATTTAATTTATAGGGACCGCAGAAAGCCAAAAAGAAGAGGCAACAGATTGAAGATATAATTGACGTTGGCCTTGGCTACGATGAAACTGATCCCTTTGTTGATAACTCAGAATGTGTAAGTTATTACAGTAGAAACCCTCATTTACAAACCCCGAACGAATTTCCGATTTTACGAACGTAATATAAAGGTGATGACGTCATAAAAATTGAAGCGAAAGATTAAAAAAAAAAAAAAAATCCGCTCGAATTGTAACTGTTATTAGCATGCATACAACACAACACACCATACTATACAGTAATATGTAATTCTCAAGTGAAGGAGGCCCTCTTAACGGGCCTTTTCAAAGTCAGTGTTTTTTATGGCTTAACACATGTGCATGCGATAAATTTTATTTATCTTTCAAACATCGTTTTCAGCTTTAAAATTCAACACAGTGCTTGATTGTTTTATTGAATGATCAATATATATAATAAACAAGTATCTATGGAAGTTGTGTTGGAGTAAAATCCACAATCTAGGTATTTAAGAAGGTAAAAATGTCCGACAAAAACAAATTTGTGTAGGGCCTAGAGTGGAATCAGAATGCTTAGAAGCTGCCTACTGTAGGCCTAGGCCCCCTCAGACTTAGCTGCGTAAGCCTGTAGGCCTAGCGTAGGCCTAGTTTATGCCAGTGTAAGTAGTACCAGTGCAAGTATATAGGAATTTGGGTCAACCCCGATTTTACGAATACCCAAATTTACGAACTGCTCTGGGCCCTTGCCGTACGTAAATGAGGGGTTCTACTGTACACTGATTAAAAAAAATGTAATTTTTCATTTTGACTACAAATACAGTTAAAATGTTCCTGTAATCTTAATTGCAAATCTCGTAGAGGGCACAATTACATAAATTCCAACTCTGCTAGGAGGCACATCTGCAGAAAAGCAAGTCTACATTTCCAAATTCTTAATTAGATAGAATGTTCTACTTTTAGCTCCAATGACGAACTCTAGAAACACTCGGCTGATGGACTTGGAGGCTTTTTTTTAGCCAACTGCCTCTATTATACTGCCCTCATGAGGAGCTCTTGAAACACTCAGCTGATTAATAGTTGATTAATAGATATTTTTTAGATCTACTGCCTCTATTATACTGCCCTCATGAGGATGGTTGATTAATAGTTGATTGATTAATTAATCTTTTTTAGCTCTACTACCTGTATTATACTGCCCTCATGAGGAGCTCTAGAAACACTCAGCTGATTGGTTAATAGTTGATTGATTAATAATAGATCTTTTTTAGCTCTACTGCCTCTATTATGCTGCCCCCATTGAAGCTTTCAAGATTGCAAGAACTTGTTTATTTTGAAAATCTGTTAGAGGGTGCCATTTATGAATTATGTTGTTGATGTTTCTGCTTGTAGTATGATGAGTTGATACCATCGATGCTGGATACACAACATGGTGGATTCTACATCAATTCCGGCCAATTAGACTTCAAGGAGATTGATGCTTCTTCGGACGACAGCGAAATTCATGTACATAAGAAACGGAAAAATAATAAATCTGGAAAGGTATGAGCAATAGTTTACCGAAATCATTTTTTTTTTTCTCAAAGTATTTGTTATTTACTAAATATACATTTTTTTTTTTTTTTTAGAAAAAGCGATCAAAATCATCAGAAAGTCGTAATGGGTCCAAGAAGGAGAGAAAGAAGCGCAAATCCTCATCGATGGCGGACACGTCCAAGAAGAAAGCCAAGCGGCACCTTAGCGGTCATCTTGGGTAAGTATGCAATCACACATTTCAAAATAAGGTCAGCCACATGTCCCTCTGTCCGTAAATTTTCATGATAGTGTATACACGTGAGAATAACTCATAAGCAATTAGCGTCTGGTAGTAGTTGTTACAGACTCGGTCCAAGACCAGCGAGTGAAGCAAGGTTGACCGCGAAACCGCAACTTTGAAAAGATTTGGAACCGATTTGCAAGTGACTGAGCTATGAAGGGAAATTTTTTAATTTTGGACAACAACTTCGTAAGCAGTTAGTAAGGGAACTTACCCCAGTTAGCCCAACCCACCATACTTAGACCCTGGGCCTGTACTCCGTGGGTAAGGATGTGCTTAAGACTCAAGATGGAAGTATAAAGGCTAAGCTTTATGCCCTATGCCAGTTATAGCCTAGATAGCTATTAGTATTACTACGGTACTAACTAGTATATACCATAGCAGAAGCATGGGCCCTTCCTTTGCTATGGCAGTATTAAATCAGGGAGGTATTACGTAGGCCTGCATCAAATCAATAATAGGTCCCCTACTACATCTAATCTAGATGGCCTACTAACTATATTTGGTAGAGTAGAAGGCCCTAGGTTTATTTCTATTTTCAAACACAAATAAGAACAAATTCCACAAGTAGATATCAGGGTGATCTAGGCCTCTTTCATGGATGAAATCGTCCATTTTTTAAATATCCCTGACAGTCATCAAACATGCAAATAGTATCATCCAGTTATGCCAGCGTGGTTGTGTTAGCCTAGACGTGATCAGCAATACAAGAGTATACCTCAAAAAGGTGCTTTTGAAACAAGGCATACTTTGCATAGCATTGTCACCTACAAGTAGAACAGTGATATTCGCTATTGACAATCCTTGGCAGCACGTGTTGTGCGCCTAAATAAATAATAAAAAAATAATAATAATGGTCTAGAGACTGGTATATAGATAAATATTGTAGTATGTACAAGTAGGTTTAGATATGGCCCCTGGGACCCAAGCTCCAATCTTAAAATTGCATTGACTAAAATTTTGTATTTTTGAAATATAATTTCAGACGTGAGAAGAAGAAAAAGAAGGATAAGTCTAACCCTCTAACAGTTGCCGAGCTGCTTCAGCGGAAAGCCGAGGTGAACTCTGGTTTTTCCAGTAAAGCAACGGCGAAGACTCCAGTAGCACCAACGCTGAACAACGGGAGCATCACCACGCTTGAAGAGGAAGCCGCAGACCTCATGGGCAGCTTCAACCTGCCGCTCGACAGCGAAATGGAGCAAGCTATGCGGGATGTGATGGTGATGGACGTGGAGAATACTATGGGAATGGCGAGTGATGCCGAGATGAGTGCTTCCGCCAATGAGGGAGATTCTACTAGTGTAGGGTACACTAAATGTCCAGAGGGGCTAAAGGAACCACTTAAGTTGAACATAATGAAGATAAAAGAGGTATGCTTTAACATGTTCGACTGCCAGGCCTTTTTTTTTTCATAGTTTCATCCCATACACCAATGCATAAAGGACATCGCCATAATCTGGTACTGGATTTGGTATTTATATTGCGCATTTCCCTTGCGGTTATGAAGCCTCAGTAATTCAGGAAAACAGTGGTAGGCATAAAATCAGTCATTATTCAGGAACCCATGCATTACAATAGTACAGTCACACAAACAACAAATACAAATATACAGATATAACTATAAAAACACAAAAGGAAAAAGCAGCAAAAAGTACGTCTTGAGTGCACGTTTTTAAAAAGATTAGGATCTGAGTAATGAAAATTATTCCCATCAACTGTAATGAAACACAAAACAAACACGGTATTTATTTTTAGATCATTACTGCTGAGTCTTCCCTAAACCTACAGGGCAAGAATTCACGTTCAGACGACCACTGTCTGTGCGTTTACATGCAATATTATATATTCATATCATATTCATATCTGCAATGGTTACTACATCAGATGCTTCAAATAAATCAGCTGCTGATTTTGAAAGTTTGGATTGAGTTAGCATTTTTCACAAAGAAATTGAACTGACTCTTATCTCAGAAATCTAATTTTTCAATTCGTGAGGTACGACAAGTAGATCAACTGGTGAACTTCGCTAGTTGGCGCAGCATTTTGCAGGAAGAAATTTAACTTATTCCATTTTCTGTAAAGAGGGAATGATTTCAGAAATTTGATTGTCAACTACATTTGTAAAACTACATCTGATGGTCCAATTATATTAGCTACTAAACATGACTTATTTATCCCATAGGAATGCAAATACTGACCCCCGAGGAGTGCTCAGTGTTGATTATTTTTCCCATAGGCTGTCATTACACTGACTTTAAGCATTTGAATGTTCTTGGCTTTGCTTTCTTTCGTTGTTTCTATATTCTTTCCTGACCTGTAAACATTCTGGCATGGTTTGTGACGGTAAACATGCCACAAGAATAATAATAATGGTGATCAATCAATCAATCAATCAATCAAAAAAAGTTATATAGTGTCGTTTTCTATAAAGAACATGGCGCAATACAATGATAGTTGAAAGTTTGAAAGCCTTGCCACCATGTAATACACCTTCCCAGGGGTTCCAAGTAGGAAGAAAACCCTTCCTGGAGATCTGGTTAAATGTCCTCCTTAACATATTTAATTTATTTTGCTGCGCATGCTGATACGCATCGGCCCTGACTTCCATATGACAAATGAGGATAAAGTGGTAAAAAACAAGCAGATATTATGAATTTGCTGGAGATGAGTTTTTTTCCGTGGGGAAGCTTCCTTGCTTGCAGGAGTGGGAGAGGCCGTCCCGATTTCCGGGAGACTCCACTATAGGCCAAAGGTCACATTTATATATCATTCGTTTGGAAACTTTTAGAGTTGCAGGTTAGCATTGAGTATCACTATGATAATACATAGTCAGACACATGGCCTTAGATTAATTACAAAATTGAAATTATATTTGCAGGCTGCAAGGAAATCAGAAGAAGGGAAATGCAAGTTTTTCACCAGTGAAGTTAATGACCTACTTTTAGAGTAAGTTCTAGTTATATCCGGTTATTTTATAATTTGCTATTAATATTATTTTTTGTATCATGATTTTGCATCAAGTATGTGTGAAGTAGTTCCTAGAAAATTGCTCACACGGTTGAAAAGGTCCGATGATGTTGTCAATACCTGTACCAATGCGTAATTGCATCCCATGCGTGTCATTTTGTAGCGAAAACAAGAATGAAGCAATGTTGGAACTAGACTTGCTACAGATTTTTCTTTTTTTTTCAATTGTACCACGAGCGAGAGATCTTGGACTGAACATACGTACTTGCATTAATTGGCTAGCAAAATTGATCTGATGGAATCATGAAGGGAATGACGTAATGTAGGTTGCCATATTTACCTAATTGCAGCAGACTCGGCAACCAATCAACGTGTTCCAAATTTTACAACTTTGTGAGCATAAAGGGAACTTAGCTATATATAGCCCACCTGTCTTCTAAGCCCTTGAACTTCACCCCTAAACAAGGAGGTGTTACATTAATACTTGAAATAGCCTAATAGATGTGTAGCCAGCTAGTAGAACTACCCTAGCTACAGTAGTAGTATGTGCCCTTGACCAAATACTCTTCAAGAAGTGCTACTTCTACATATAGGCTTTATTTTGCCTACACACACAAGTACTTCTACAGTAAAGTAGTAGGCTAGGCCCATTGGCTCAGGCCCTAGGCTTATTTTATTCTATTTTGAGACGCAAAGAACAAGGCAAAAGATTTAGGCCTCTAGAACAGAATACCTTCATTAAATCATATAAAGATTATCGTTACGAAACTTATTTAGGTATGCAGAAAATTAAACAAGCGTAGTCATGCATCGACACCTTAAAATTGAGGCATTTTGTCCCGGCTACGCCTACTTGGCAGTCAGGGCCTAGGCCGTCGCGGGAAATTTATTTAAAAAAAATAATGTTGGGCTGTTAAGATTTACATGAAATATAATGTCCTAGAACCTAATCTCTGCTGGAACAGGGTCGTCAACAATGAGCTCATAATATATCGGATACAATATTATTTTATTTGTTTTGACAAATAAGTCATTTTTTTAGATTATTAATTGTTCATGCGATATTGACATTAATTGTTATAATATAATATTCATAACCATCCTTATTAATCATTTTGTATTTTAGTATTGAAACGCAACTGCGGGCATTATCTTGTGGGACAAGGTCAACCGTGTATAGCCATCTATCCCACCATTTACCTTGTGGCAAAGAGACGCTTTTGAAGAGAGCTAAGAAGTTGAGGCTTAGTCAGCAAGATAGTAAACTGAAAGCACCGCTGCAAAAACTCAGAGAAGGTCAGTGATGTTGTCAAGCTCATGTTATTGCTTGGCAATTGTTGCTAAGCACTAATAGTTGCTAAGAACTTACTGTTGCTAAGTAAGATATTGTTGCTGAGCACTTATTGTTGCTAAGCAATTGTTGTTGCTAAGCAATTGTTGTTGCTAAAAAATGGCAATAAAGTTTGGGCTGTAGTCAAGCTTGTTATTGGCAAGGGTAAATCGCTAATTTTCGACCTACGTTAGTTTTCGACCACTTCAGTTTTCAAACCCCCCCCCCCCCCTTTCCCAACCCCCAGATTTAATAACGATTTTTTAATTATCCATTTATATGTCACTGGTAAAATGATGATATTTTACGATGCAAACAGTGTGAAACACTGACACTGCCCGCAAAAAAAAACTTTTTTTTTCAAATTATGAATTCAAATTTTTATGAAATATGATATTACTAAGGGAGAATAAGAATATGGTGTCATATTACATCTAAAATTGATAACTTCAGAGTGGAAAAATCTATCCCATTTAGTCGAAAGAAAATTTAATTCTAAAAACGTTGAGATCGAAACATCGCCGCTGTCACATGGCTTACAGTAGCAAATAAGAAGAGAGAGGTTAGTTATTATTCGACACCCTATCGTTAACTACTATGAAATTATAGAGGGCGTCCTAAAACAAAGATGACCATTTTTCGCTACTTTTGTAAGACATGCGATCACAAACTGGTCTAATTTTGTATACTTCCATTATAGTAAAAGGATAGTTTACAGTAAAATAGTTTCAAAATAACTATTATTTAACATTTCTATTATTGTTAGGCGAATAAATTTGTATTTTGCCAAGAGATGAAAATTGCAAAAATAGCACTTGCTAAAGCCTCCGAGGGGGTGTCGAAAACTAGCGTAAATTCGGCAAAAGGATGATTACATTTTACAGGCAGGATGCAATTAATTTTATGAATTTGTAGTTAAAAGCTATAAGTTAAATATATATGCATCTGTTAAAATTAGATTCCTGTAATTCTATTGTCCAAAAGTCCGAAAATTACAATGTTTTTAGTCCTATGTCGAAAATTAGCGACTAAACCTACTTCATGTTGTTGCTAAGCAGTTCTTGTGACCACTTAAACAGTCTTTGTTACTTAGCAGTTGTTGCTAATTCTGTGAATCAAATTATATACAGCGAGACGTCCATTTTACGTACCCCTTGGTACCAAGGGGTGTTAGTAAATCGAAAAATTTGTAAACTAGATCGGGTGTCAGTTACCAATACCTAGGCATAGTATCCTTTGACATCGAGTGCCGATAGGCTGATGGCGGCAGTGCAGCTAGAGCCTAGCAGAATTTAGCTTCAATAAAAACCAAATTATTTAAATCGCTGACTTTCTTCCACTTAACAAAATATTATTTTAACTCTTATTCAAACATTTGCATGTTTTATGGCCCTTTCTATTGTGTTCTTTCTAGTTGTTAGATCGCCGAATTGCATTGTTTACATGACACATTTAGCATTCACGATGTCAATAAGTTGCTGACCCCAACACTCTCGTTCATCATTGTGAACATGTGCCCTCAATCCAACGACACTTGCATTGGTAGTTCGTTGTTCTGGTTAAGTTTATTACATTAATATAGTGATTAATATACCAGAAATAGAAAAAAAAAGATCGAACTATTATTATATAAATACAACAAACTTGATAAGAAAAGATATACTTTTTCACTTTTTAAAACGTGTGCAATCAGACTTCTTTAATGGTAATAATTGGTCGATAATGACGTCATCAGGGGCAAAGACCATTCCTAACATCGACGATTCGTAAAAACGAGGTTCGTAAAATGAACGTTTTACTGTATACACAAATCTTAGTGTATTCTGCTAATTTTTTTTTTTGTAGGCCAGCAGTTGAATTGTATTTTGTGCATTATAAATATAACCTTTAATCTTTCGTTGACTTGCTTGCAATGCAGCAGCTCTTAATGTCCATGATATTAACTTGTTTGACTTTAAAACATTGTTTTTAATTCTTGTAGCGGTTGGTCAGGCCATGCCAACTCTACTGGAACGTTACCAAGAAGAGTGCCAAGCAGCCACCCAAGCAAAATATGATAAGTATGTATCCTGTTACACCATTACATAAATTGATCATGAAAATCCATTGCATAGAGTACTACAGTGTTACGTCACGATACCACATGATACTATTCTGTTGCTATTGACGACCCAAAATGCGTTCAACTGGATGCCATTTTCTCCACTTACAGACCATTGATCCCAATTTCTAACGTAATTAAGATGTTGTATCTTATTTTTTTCTTTGTAAATTTTAATTTACGATTAAATGAATGGTAACCAACGTCTGGTTGACAACAAAGGACACAACCTGGTGTTGTGATGACACGACTGTTTTACTCTATATATAAATCCATTTTGGTGAAAATTTTTCCCCTGTTTCAAAAGAGCACACAAAGACAAAGTGTATAATGTATAAAGGATATTATCATTTAGTAATCCTAAGCTTGATGTGGCCAGGCTTAGGGTCACTCTTCCAACTTTGCTCTCAAAACGCACTAATTTGCTTAATTTTTACTCTAGAAAATAGGCATTTGCTAGAATTAAATTGTGGCAAAGTCAAGCCAAACCAGTCACTCATCGCAAAAATTGATTTTTTTTGTTATTAAAACCGGGTTAAAAATTAAAGTAAGTGCTATAAAATGGTAAAAGAATCATTTAAATCTGACATTGCCTTATGAAGTTACAGGAGTTTAAACATACAGCTGTATAAAGAACAATATTTGAGAAATCAGCCTTCGAAGTGTATGATTTCGGGCATTTCTCAGGCAGACCATCACCAAATCATAAAAAAATGGTGTTTTAACATTTAAAATAGGCAAAATAACAGCATAGCATAATGTATAGATATATAAAGGTTAGTTTAGTGCAATAAAATAGATTTCAAAAATGTTGACATTTCAGCATGTTTTGGTCATTATTTCTAAAACATGATTTGCGACAAGTGACTGGTTTGGCTTGTATTCGCCACAATTGTTTGATACCACATTTGTTGTACTTTGTCAGGATAATAAATGGAAAAGAGAAACCAGAAGAGATTAAATCCGAAGAGGATGATGATGGCGGTGGAGACAAGAACAAAACTGGAATCAAAAGCTCTCTTCCCAGGAAAAAATTCATATGGACTGACACCCTCAGGTATGGTATTTTAATGTGAAGAGATGAAAGCGTAAAGCGTAGCAATTAAGCTGTGGGCTTGCAATCGTAGGGTCAGGATTCAAGTTAGAAACAAATACATACATATTTATGTGAATAGACGCCCCAGGGCATTTCTTGTTAAGAAAGGTTTTTGAGGCGGGGTGTTTATTCAAGTAAAGCGTTTATTCGTGCGAGGAGACATGAATAAAACTTTACTTAATTTTCGTCCATCACCAGTTGAAAAAAAAAAAATGAATTTTTTCGATGGGATTTCAGTGAAAAGCTCGTCCACACTATGAAATTGGCTTGCCACATGTTTTTCTCAAATAAAATTTGGTAGTGTGGACAGGTCTTAAGATTTGAATCTGATTGTGTGCCTGTTGTCTTGTGTTGTGCTTTGCTGTGTATGAGCTTCTTTTTTCGAGTCTACTTTTGCAAACTAAAAACGGGCTTCATTTCAAGATTGGCTTCTCAAGATGAAGCCCATTGAGCTTCTATTCGAGATTTTACAGTAGATCATTTACTGGAATCAACTTTGCCAAAGTCATTTGAAAAATGATTGCAGCCTCTCTGTACTAAAGTATACAATATTGCCACATTCTTATGGTAATTGTTCAGTTTAACATTTAGTGACAGTACTCAGGTTTTTGTGATTGCAAGACTCATTTTATAGTTTGATGCAGTCAGTGAACATTAATATATGTGCTTAATCATGCTTGCAGGGATCTGCTGTGCAAGGTGGTGATAGTGAAAGTGAGGGCCTACGAGATGTTGAAGAGCCGGTCACAGTCAGCTGAAGACTACCTCAAGGCCTTTCTAGAAGCAGAAATTAAAGGGTTTTGGCCTCAAGGTTGGATGCAGACAAGGTGAGGATTTTATTATGGGAAAGCATTAGCTCACTTTGAGGTTGGTTTCAGGTCTTAGAAGTGGAAGAAAGTAGGGTGTAGGGTAAAGTTTTTTTGATGTCATTCGTTTAGCAGGTATGTATTGCTGGGTCTTGTTGCAGTTTCTATGCTTTTTTTTTTATTCATTTATTACTGTTTATTTTTTTTTCTTTATTCTGCCTCAGAGTTGTAACTTTACTTGAGGTAGTAGGAACTTTTCGATTGAGTGAACGACGAGCACGTTCACGTCGACTGCAGGCGATCATCAATGTGTTCACTGCTCATGGTGATCCACCGCTGAAATCAGTTTCGATTTCAGTTGATAAGGAGTCAACATGATGACTTTTTGAGCAAGGATCATGCCTTACCATCATGGCGAACCTTCATAGAGTCCGAGATGCGATCCTCTTCGGATGTTTCAGCAATGTGCTTGACGATGAAAATTTTGTGCTTTTGTACAATGCTAATCGACCTGTAAACTCTAAACTTGTTCGATGTCAGAGATGAAATTACTTGAAAATTGCATAGAATTAGGCCTCTGCTTAGGCCTAGTAAGCTCCTTTCAGCGTGTCCGGTATCACCCATCTTGAAAATATGATGTCATACAGTCAACAGGGCGAGTAGATTTGGGTCGACGGTGAAAAAAACGCATGCGCACTACTTGAAAATGACATGTCAAGATGTCAACTATGTTGACGTGAAAATCAAAAAGTGCCTAATGCTGCCATGTTAACATAGCATGGTACTGTATCAGAAAATTTATCCTTCGTGACGAAGCCTAGCATACTGCAGCTACGGTACTTGAGTGTACACAGTCAATAGGCAGTCTTGACTTCATGAGTCTTATGGCTGCCTACTGGTATTAAGAGAGTCTTGGATATTCTTGGCTATTTTTGATAACCAAAAGCAGAAATTAAAGGGTTACTTTTAACCCTTAATTATACCAGATTTCACCCAATTTATCATGTTTAGCTTTTTGACATTGCGATGGGCTAAGAATACAACTCAAGCACTTTCTCAGCTGTGTAGTGTGTTGCGATGCAGCCATTCTGAGGTCGCGATTGCAAAATATTAGATACAATTTCAAATGGTAATTATAGAGAATTTATAGTTAGCATAAAGGTTTATATGTGAGCAAGAACTATGACCTCTTGACCCAAGCCAAAAACAATAGAAGGCTAGCTAGCCTAATAGAAGCAAAGAAATTTGTGTTGAAAACGGTCAATACCAGTATTTCCTTGCCTTTTTGATTGCGGTAAATTCTGACAATGGTTGAAATTCGATTGACTGATGGTAGCAGAAATTATCGCCAGTGGTAAGTTCTCTCCGCACTGTCAAATTGTATGTGACAAATAGGGTGATTCACACAAGTTTGTCACATGAAACGTGATAGTGTGGATGGACTATTAAAATGTATTTCCACATCAACTTAAGATGGAACATTTTTTCTATCATATTAAAATTGTTATTTTCCTCCTTTTTTAGAATGCTTTTTAAAGAATCAAGAAGTGTTCACCAACACTTAACATCCTCAAACCCAGTGAAGCCAAAAAAGCCGTTTGTACTTTTGCACAAGGTCCAACTTGCAAAAAAGTCACCATCCCCAGTTCCACCAGAAACCCCATCTAGTGCTCCAAATCCAGCTCCATCCGAAGCTGTCGCTGGTCTGAGCTACGCCAGTAGTATCCTGAAGGAAATGGCGCACACGAAAAAAGCTGACAACGCTCAGAAAGATGTCCCCACTATTCTTGATTATGCAAATAAGAACAATGCCGCAACAAATTACTCAGTGATATACTCTTCCACTGCCAAGGCTGCTGGCAACACAAGTGCTGCAAATTTACCGTTGCGATTGAGTGGAAATGTTGGTAAAACATCTCCCGTAATGGGTACACAAAGCTCTAATCAACACAGTGTTGAACACCTCCATGCCAAAGATACCAATAGCCATCAACCCCAACTGAATGCTATAAAAACTGCGAACAACAAAAACTTTAATGACTCGTTTGTACATAGTTTGATTGCGAAAAATCTTAAAATGGCAGCAGATTCGGTGGGGTCACAGGAAGGTTTTTCTGATTTAAAACCGCCAGATATGTCGTCTGCATTTGAGTTGCTCGCCGAAGCTGCAATGGAACACAGTGATGCATCCGGTAAAAGCACGAATTTGAAAAGCTTGGGTGACTCTCGGCAGCAGCATAGCGTAGGTATATCTGGTTTGAACCAGTTGAAAACATTGAACAAAGACAAAAATACCCAACCAGTTGTTAGAATGAATTTATTGGATAAAAAGTTATTAAAATCTGTAAATATGGACTTGGCAAATCAAACCAAGCATATGTCGCTGCATAGTAGTCAAGGAACTCAACAGAAAAGTTACGCCAACTCTTCAAGTACTGCAAGTACGCCATTGACAATGCCGAAAGGAACTAATAACGTGACACCTAAATGGTCAGGAAATTCCTACCTCAAAATGGTAGACAAAACAAAACAATTACCGACTCATGCAACGCAGTTTGCGACAAATACGCAACATAAAAACATGTTCCATACTACAATCCATGATGGACATACTGTTTCCAAAGATAAGGATTCATTAATAAGCAGTAAACTGCCCTCTAAGGATGTTAATACTTCTCCTGGAGTAATGAGTAACACAAACAAACAATTTTTAACACCTCAGCATGTTTCACCTAAACGAACTGTTCAGACAAGTGGGTACATGCAACAGCAACGGGGCAGCAATGCTAGCGTCATTCCCCAACGACTATCATCCTCGGCGCCGAAGCAACCATTGTCGCAACATGTAAAACAAACGAATCGTACTAGTCCCTCTCCCTTTAATAGTCAATCTCCAACCGGACCGTCATCCATGGCTGCCTCGGGCCATTCTCCAATGTCTCCCAGAACGTCACCAAGTAGTCCCTCGACGATGTCGGCAAGGTCGCTTTTCCATCATCCGACAAGTCCGCAGCAACAGCAGCCGACAACAGTGGGGGCGGTACCACAAATGAATTTACTTGGTCTAAACTACGCCAATAACTACACAATGCAACAGTTTTCAGGGTTTCAAATGCAGTTCGCAGACATGGCCATGAAGCATTCTGGAAATTTTGCAATGTCTGTAGGTCAGGGGTCACCGGGTCATAGTTTACAACAACAGTCGTCGGCAAATCAAACGTCACCAGAAGCCGTCATTACCGGCCCAGCTCCCGGAACATTTTACTATACTCAAGGTGGATCAAGTAAGTAGATATAGGTATTGATAAATATCGATATGTACTGATATACATTGATTATAATTATTGATGTGTATCAATATTTATAGTGTTAATTGATAGATAATATTGTTTTTTTTTCTGCAAATGCAATTTTTCTAGTCAAAAGCAGCAGCTTGCTTTTTTTGCACTCCTTTTCTTCTTTTGAACTTAGAGAAAAATATATTTTAATAATCAAAGTCAAATTAAGGAGAAACTGTTCAATAAAAAAAGAATGTTTGCGTTTTATATAATTAAATATAATGGTCATTTTTTAGAAGCGAGGACTTTGGCTAAACTGTTTGACTAAAGTTCTATTAATTTATTATTACCAAAATGAGAATCCTGATTGAACTGAAACAATAAATGATTGATAAAAATATTTGCAAACTAAATATTAAATTAAAAGCACATTTGTTCAATTTCTTAAATTAAGTATTGTAGAAAATTGATTCCAGTGTACACAGTTAAAATAATTAAAACTCCACTATCCATTAAAATATTTTTATAATATTAATACACACTGTGTTTTAGTTAACAAAATAAATAAAAACTTAAGAAATTAATACTAGTATACATTGACCCAGATTTGACCATGAGTTTAAAATTTGTCATAATTTTTTTTTTTTAATTTAGCTTGTAGTGGGATCTATCAAAATTTAAATTAAGATATCTTTAAGTATGCATCCTAAATAGCAACCTGCAATGGTGGAATATGTGACGTTACTTGTGAACTGTAATGTTCAAAATGTAATGGTTTGAGCGTAGGATGCAGTAAGAAATACAATAAAAAAAAACTCTCCTAATGCTTTGCTGTTTCAATTCCTACTTGCTACAAAAGCTTATTTAACCCCTTAACTTACTGAAAACTGGTAGTAACCCGACCATAAGCTTAAAAAAAGGTGTCAATTTAAAACGGGTCCAAAGTCGAGAGATCTGCAGTGGCGGAACCAGGAATTAGAAATAGAGGGGGAGCCAGAGGGGAACTTTAACAGAAGGTGGGTCTAGACCACCCCAGCCCCACCATAGTGTTGGTGCTGAAGTAAGAAAATTTATGATTATGGAACCTCTAAATGGCCAGAAATGGCACTCTCAGATTAAAATTTGAATATCATGTTCTATTTTTTCTCCATTTAAAAAAAATATATTTATAATTTTGGAAAAAAAAAATTAGGGGTCCCAGGGCAACTTCCATGCCCCCTCCTAACAAGACATTAAATAATAAATCAGTGAAAACATGCAAATATTATGAATTTGCGGGAGATGATTATTTTAATAGATTCTTGCGGGAGTCCAGGAGGACGTCCCAATTTTCGGGAGACTCAGGTTGCGGAAGACTTTTGACTGCTGCCATCATAACTGATCATTTCACTAAAAAAAAATTAAAACTTGGTGTGTACTAATAAATTTATTTTTGATTTTATTTTTTCGCAAGCTTGTGCCATTTAATTATGAAGCTCATATACAATGCAATTTGTGATTTATGTACATATATTTAACTTTGTACGTGAAATGATATTCTGCAGGTGGCGTGTTTAACACTATGCATGGCAATGCGCAACAACATCTACCTCATGAAATTCCTCAATTCCATCAAACATTTACAGGTAAACCTAGAATGAGATGCACAATGCTATTCTCCATTCCTTCCGCCATGTTTATTAGCTTTATTGTTTGGTAGAATGTGTATGTTTGCTACCTTATCATCCTTTGCCTGGCTGTGCATGGTACTACTTTACTCTACATATAGTAGCTATCAGTGTTACAATAGCCTACCTGCCTTGCTACTAATACATAGTATGTTGCTACACCCCACCCACCTGCTCATGTATGTTGCTACACCCCACCCACCTGCCTGTGTATGATATTGCACCCCACCCATCTGCTTGCCTGTGCATGTTATTACCCCTACCACCCTATCTATGCGTGTTACTATACCCCACCTCTATGTTGCATGACCCTACATAGCTGTATGTCACAAGCAGTACTGTCGTTCCTCTTTCAATAGTTTAATCTACCAGTTGTTGGGTGTTTTCTTTTGTTTACATGGGTTTAACGGATTATATACTGTCCTACAAAAACTTCCTGTATTTGTAATACTCAAGTTCTTGTAAGAGTAAATATTCTTCAACAATCTCTTGTCGGCAAGGCATTTTTGGAATATTTTTGTTTTGTTTACTATGATGGTTTGGTAGTTGGAAATATACTGTGTGTCTACTTAACTTTACCCAAGTTATTGTCAGGGTTTAATAAAGTACTGTAGGTCCTAATCTTTTGCTGGCAATGCATCATGAGACATCTTTTTTTCTGTTTTGTTTTCTTGTTAGTAAGGGGTACAAACAGTACACTAGGGGGAGGGGTAGACAAATTTGTACACTTTTAGATAGTGATGCATGAAAAGGTTATTCAAAATAACATGTAATAATAATATATATACCGTTATGGCCTACTTTAGTTGACTTCACCAAAAAATGGAGAATGGTTTTGCAAAATCAACATTTTTTTATGTACACTTTCAGAGGGGAGGGGATGGGTTTGTACACTTGCAAAAATGTTGATAATTGTGAACGACCTCTAAAGTAATTAGTAGAAAATATAGTATGAACATTTTGTGTATGTGTAACTTTAGCTTAGTTTATGTCATGATAATAATGTAAAAGCTAATCTCTTGTGGGGAATGCATTGTAGGAAAGTCATATGCACTATGCATTGTGGGACATTCTGTTTAGAATATTTTGTTTATTTTATCTCTGGTGGGACATGCATTGTGGGAAAATTTAATTTATTCGCTCTGAGTTGTGGGACATTCTGATATAGAAAAACTATGCAACATTTTCTTGTGTAACTATAAGCATGCGCTTGTCATGTTTAAATTTACTTTACATTATAATGTAAAAGCTAATCTCTGGCGAGAAATGCATTGTGGCAAAATTTAATTTATGCCCTCTGCAAATTAATGCGGTAATGATTCTAATCTGGTTTGTGGCGATTGCTCTCACGGCTAAAAGGCAGATTGTAGAATTTAAAGTTTTTTTTTGTTGGAGATTATTCAGTATTATCTGGCAAGTCGCTAAAACAGATTGATTTAACCCGCTGCGAATATTAAAAGCAGTTGATATTCAGAAGCGGATCTCCACAAGTCATATCTACTCATTAGAACTCGCAAGCCTATTAGTTAATGGCAATTTACGTTGTCTGCGTCTTAAGATCTCCACAAGTTTATGTGTTGCCGAGTAATTAAACCAACTGAAGATGTGCCGTTGCTCGACAGTGGAGATTACCCGATCAAATGCTGCGGTTCTATTCAAGACTTTGTTTGATTAAAGATTGACACACTTTAGCAAATGTCAACACTGACGAACAATCTTTGAATTCACAAGATATTTCAATTCAAGATTGCCAGCTTGATATTTACCCTTAAACCATGTAACGGTGCATTTGATCAATCTTAGTGGTAACTGTAAATTATTATTTTCTTTTTTTATTATGTCACCCTCTTTTTTTCTGTTTATAATTATGTAAACAGTGCCCTCTGTAGTTTGAAAAGCTTGTCATCTATTCAAATTTAATATTCTGTTTGTACTGTAACAAATTTATCTGTTGGATTGTAACCTCTTTTGTGCTTGAAAAATTTTAGCAGAAACTATTTTCAATAAATTTAAAACATTAATTTTCAGTAAGTATTCACATTTTGAACAATATTGTGCAAAGTTTTGTAAAAGTAAATGTTTATTGAAATGTGTATTTTTAGTAGATTATTAGTGGTTAATTAATTAAAATATAATTTGTGAATTAAATTCATTGTATTAATTGACACAGTGAAAGTGGTATGACATAGAATTCCTCTGAATTAAACATCAATAATGATAAATATATCTCTGCTATATTTGGACAAAACTATTCAAATTAAATTAAATTTTCCTTTTTTGTCCAATTCCAAATATTTTAAATTGGAAAATTTGGCTGGACCCCTGGGGATTTACAACAGATATTTTGTCCCTTATCCTGCCTAATTGTCATCCAAGGGTTATTCGAGGAGCAGAGCGATCTGACGTTGGGTTTGAACCGGGATCTGCAGCTAAAAAAACACTTAACCTCTCGACCAAAAGATCAGCTCATTAATAAGATAACAGTAGCATGCCAATTACCGAACATTGGCTCTGCGAGATGTCATCTCTACAACACATGTTGGTGACATTGAGATATGGTTCTCTGCAACGGTACATTCTCTGCAATTGTACACCTGTGTGCCGTTAACCAAACTGCTATAGTATGCCATTGAAAAGCAGTTTAAATTCACAAGCACTTTTCTGTTGGTAGTTTGTAAAAAAGAAAGAAATGTTTCTATTTGAGTTGTTTATTTATAGAATCTGTTAATCTTTTGCTGGGATTTTCTGGGATTCATTTAAGAAGTTAATTAAGAAGTAGTTATTCCAGAATATACAAAAAGACATCCTCCCTTGGTACCAAGAGGTGTTTGGAAAATAGCACGAACCGACAGTGTAGCAGCGTGGTCTACCAGTGTTCTGGTTAGGTTTTAATTTATTATAGTGATTATTATACCAGAAATGAAATAAAAGGTCAAACTTGATATTATGAAGAAAAATATACATTATCACTTTGTAAAACGTTCGCAATCAGACTTTTTTTTGTAAAACCGATGATTCGTAAAATCCATCTTCATAAAATGGACGTTTTACTTTACATCCATATTTCTGATTTCCATCTAGGTGCGTTTCATTTATAGAAGCCATTGTCATTTTTAAAAAAATTTCGGCTAGAAAAATATTTTTTTAATTGTATGTTTTGTATTGTTAGAGCATACAGAAAAATGCAGGAAAAAACAACACTGAATTGACCATTTATAGACTACCATAAAACCTCGAATTGAAGCCCTTGTCGTCTTATTTTTTGCAAACTTTGGAGGGCTTCTTTCTTTGCCCCACCCCCCCCCTGGCATTAAGTCGCCTAAATGACTAATTTATTTTGTTTCTTTGAAATCCATGTATAGTGTTACTGTACGATCTAAAAATGGAGGTCCATGTGCTTCTTTTCGAGACGGGCTTCTTTTTAAGGCCACTTTTGCAAACTGAAGAAGGTGGGGGGGGGTTTTAATTTGAGATGGGCTTCTTATCGAGATTAAGCCCATTGGGCTTTAATTCAAGGTTTTTACGGTATATTCATTACCAGCCAAAAGGGTTGTGTGTTTGATAGAACTGTTTATTAATAATAAAGGCACAATGGATGTGAACTTCTGCGAGCTTTCGTCAGGCTATGTGAGTTAGCTTCAGTTGTTTTGGACATTGTTTACAACGCCCTCTAGTGCCAACTTTTTTTCCTGTCAGGTTTGGTTCCTGGGGCCACCGGCCTTTCAGGTCGAAGGAGTCGGTCATATATATGGGAAACGCATTTGATCATTGGCACCAAAATTTTTACTTCTAATTTTTAATTGAAAATATTAACAGAATTATTATACAAAGCAAACAATTAAAATATTTAATTCTTTATTTTTGAAGCATAGCTTTAGACAGTATCCCTCCTTTGGGACACCCCTATTAGGCCCCAGGGACACTTTTTGGTTCCAAAGATGTTTCCTTATTAAGAGGGTTCAACTGTATTTCTACAGGTACTTTGATTTATCATTTTCATTATTTGTATGTGCATGGTCTGTTAATAGTGCATTTTTCTGATTCTTAGTCATTCACTAAAGCTATATTATTGCATTGCCATTAAACCTGTTATGTTAGCATGTGCTGCTAATTTTTTTTATAGATTTGTATTGTTGAGTTATTAAACAGGCTCTGAGTTAAAATATATATTGATAAAAATTATGTAGTATGATTGATTACGATCTTTTTGGTAAGATTATGTGAGCGCTGTGTTCTTTAATGAAACTTTTACTTTATTGTTTATTTTCGTTCCGTAGATCCCCGGTTCAGTCAGGACTCCTCAGGTCAGATGCAACATCGTATTCCGTAATGAACAGTACTTACCACATGCACCTTACAGTTCTTGTCTGCAATATGAAGTACGGTAACTGTTTCAACGTTGTGCATCCAGCCAGTCTAGTAGTAACCCAACATGTTTCCCTCAAGTTTTCAGACTGACACATATTTGATGTGGATGATGTGCTAAGCTCTGTTTTTTTATAGGCAGTTTTTTTTTTTTTTCTTCTTTTGGGGGGCAATTGAAATGATAACTTTTGTAAACATTCTCCATCATATTTTTAAGAGAGATACAGTACCATCTATATGAACCTAACAACATTAACAAATTTAATGGCTTGCAAGTTGTATATTAAATTACATAGGAATATTACAAAAATAAATATATTACATTCTATATTTTATTAACTTTCAACAAAAAACGAGAACATGAATTATATATACAGATTTTATTTGACAATAACATGTGACATTCCTAAATATGGTCATGATGACATCACATCATGACCATATATAGGCACATCATGACTATATATGGGCATTAACATTTTTTTGTCAAAATTTGATAGTCTGGATATGGCTTAACTACAGTGTATTCTTTTCATAGCCGGTGATTGACTGATTAAAAAATTATATGATACAGTAATTAAATTTAAGCCGGCAAATTTGTTTTTGTTCTATGTAACACTGAAGATTAATAACTTATTGATCCTTTTAAAGGAGCAGTTTCATTTTGTAGGGTATTAGGTCACAGATGGACCTTATATCTTTAATAATAGAATTCTGGATTTGTTTATAATAATTTACTTTTTTCTTATACTTTGATTTCTAATGGGTAGGTTAGCATGAGTCTGGCGCTGGGAAGCGAGTAAGATTTTTTTTTTTTTTTTTAAATTAAATAGGTATTCAATTATGATCTTTTTCTTTTCAATTGGTTATCACTGTTATGTTACATTTTGGAGTCCTGCAAAAAATTACCTTTAACAGTTGATTAAAATAAGGATTATTTAACAAGTACAGTACTTGGTAACTATGTAACACCTCCCAGGTATAACTGGGATTGGTTGTTCATATTTGTGAAACACATTTGCATTTATGCAAAAAATTAATACAGTTACCTTTCAACCATAACTGGCTGTGCGTCGTGGCGAACTATCTTTGGCCGAAGAAAATGATGTTCGTCGCTTCTTCTGTGACTGATGGTCAATATTAATGCAATTTGTATTTATTATTCTGGTGTGCGAGATGTTATTAAAACAGGTCCACAAAATCAATATCTTAACACTTGTGTGAGCTAGTTGTTTATTTAATAACCGTTCAACAAAAAACACTTGTGTGAGCTAGTTGTTTATTTAATAACCGTTCAACAAAAAAATATAATTTTTTTTTTTGCCTTTAGCAAACAGTTAGTTGATTACTGAACACAAAATAAAACTAGTTTTTATATCTGTGGATATATATTTCTTTTTATCAGCAGTTTTTTTGTTACATATTTCTTTGACATGATCTGTAGCTCTGTTTTGTGTTGTGGTGTAGCCATACTGGTTTTATTTCATATTTGTAAATCTGATCTGAAGAATTTTTTTTCCTTTAAAGGGTGGCGATGATGTATAGCACATCAATATTTATTCGTTCATGTAAAAAAAATCTCGAAGACACTAGATCATGCATGTGGCGTGAATATGCAGATTAGGTTGTTTTCAGTAGGTGTTTGTTTTGCCAACGAGAAACACACAGTAATATAATTACACAACAGGGGGAGAATGGTAAAGGAATTAAGAAATCGGTTCAGCAGCTCCACCAAGGCCATATGTTGTGAAAGGATGGGTAATTTATCACACGTCGTGTAATATATTTTCCACAGAATACCGTTTGCCTTGCCATCCTTGCATTGATTTTGCAATCACAGTCAACATAAAAATTAGTTGTTGCAAGTTTCCAACAATTTCTTTTTGTATTTTAGCAAACCATATCTATCTATTTTTTGTAATTTATTTTAAGGATATACTGTATGTAATTAGCAAATAAACTTTGAATTAAAACTCAATATTTAAATTACAGTACATATTCCAAGAAATGTTGAGCGATGCACGACCACACTCGCGCTCTCATCAGGTATACTGCCCCTCTCTCCCCCCCCCCAGGGCCACCCATGCATATTTTGTATATTTGAATAAGTTAATAGCTTTCAATTTGAATTCGGGACCTTTTGATTTGTGGGACGACGCAACTCTAGAACAAAATCAGTCAAGCGTGACCATTCTACTGGTCGTCCTATGTTCTCTGCATACGTAGATTTGGGAAAATTTCGTCCCAGAATCCACGCAACAAGGAGAACTTAACGTTCTTGCATGCGCAGATGACTTTTAGCGACGTCATTACGTTCTACACCCTGCCGTCATCGTGCAAATGAAGACTCCCTATTATTAGAATGGGAGAATATTTTCATCATCAATTATTCATATATCATTTCTATAATTGTTTTGCCCTGTGCTTCGTTTAAAGTTTATATTTTGCCCGTTTAAATAATAGTTTTTTTATTTTCATGATTTTATCAAAAACAGTATATCTTAGAAAAAAAATAAAATTTCAAATATTTTTTGTTAGCTGACCATTCAATAATATTTATATACAGACATATCTTTTATATAAAATGTTTATTTGTTACATCAAACAAAATTCTTCCAGATGTAAGTGTACAACGTCCCCCTTGATATGATGTAGATTTGATTTAAATTGTAATATAATTATGTAATATTAACTTATAGCTGATTTGAATCTGATCGTTGTATTTGTGGCAAATATCTTTGGATGTTTTTTCACAGATTTGGAATCAGTCGGCTTCCTCTTGTAAAGAATGAGTTCAAAATAAAAAAAAAAAAGATGAATACATTTTTACACATTGTTTTGTTCTTTTCTTTGTGGCTAGTTGTTTAAACAATTTGTTGATGTGTTCATGCTTGCTTGCTTGCGATTGGTTAGCACATTTTTTACTAAGCCCCGCCCCTTGGATATTGTTGCCAAGGTCCTACAAACAGTGTAGGAGCACAGATGCAGGATACACCTGTTAACAATCTTATGAAATCTCTAAATTGGAAGTATGTAAATCAACAATGGGAAGAGAATATACTTATTATGACCTTTAAATGTTTAACAGGCACAGTCCCTGAGTACTTAAATAATTTTTATGAGCAAATGGACAATTATCACAGTCTAAACACACGGAGCAAATCGAAAAATACATTAGTTTTACCTAAATGGAACTATGAATTTGGGGGAAAAACATTCAAATACCGCTCGGTTAAACTGGAACAATCTTCCCCCTGATACTTGCAGTTCAATAAATTCCTTAACTTTGCATTCCTTTAAAAATTTGATTTAATATTACATTTTCATTTTGCTTCTTATGTATACCAAATTTTGCTTGTGTTTAACAAATTTTCTTTTGTTTTTGTATATAATTTCTTGACTTTCATTTCTTATTTTAATGTTTTAACTATTAACTGGACCTTAAGGATGAACAATGTAAAAGTTGATTAAGTATCCAGAATAGAGAAAGATTTCTATCTAACAAGCATGTTTGTAGGATATGCGTGTATTTCAGTCTGTGTTCTGATTGGACAGTTGTTAAGTTTGATTGACGCTTCAGAAAGGTCCGTTTCCTAGAGAATTACAGATGGCTTAGAACCCCTGGATAATTTTAACTGCGCAAATAATCTTGCGTTTTTTTTCCACAAACAGCATAATAGCATCCCCCGGAGTGAAGTCCTGCAGAGATTTGGTTTTTACTCCACGTTTTTCCACCTTTTATTTTTATATTTGTTTTCAAGAATATAGTTTAATAATTGATGCAATCCATATTGACGAATAGCAAAATGGTCATCACCAACAGGTTCAGTGATGTTCAAAAATCAATATTGACAATTTAGAAAAATATATGTTGCGTTTATCTAGCAATATGTACCAACTTCATTGATGGATGTTTGATATTCTAGAGTGATTGTCCAACTTTTGGTCTTGCAAGTAACAGCAGCGGGACGTAAATTTAATATTTCAAGCAATTCAGTGTTTTAAATGTGAACAAAGTTTTCAATTTGGAACTTTTTTTTTGCACCCTTGTGTCCTTTTTTGGTGAGGAATGGACAACACATGTGTACATATTGTCATTTTCTGAATCACAGATCTGTCATAATACCATTTTGTTTATGATTCGTTCTACTTTTGTATGCATTATATATCATTTTAAAAACTCTTCTGCGACTGACAGTGCCTATTTACGTACCAAGTAGGCTGGAAAACTGCAAATCTAAAGCTTTCGATAAAATTTCATTTCTATCAACATAGACCTAAGTGCACCTTTAAGATATTGTTGCTAATATTCTTAAAAAATGATGGCAGTAATAGTCATAAACTTGTGACATGTTTGTGTAATATTCTTTTGTATTCCTGCCTCCATATTGAATAACACATTCTGATTGATGTGGTTCTGGTGATCCAGCTGCAACATCACAATGTTTATTGTTTTAGAGAAGGTACTGCTTAATCATTTTTTTTTTTGACATAAACAAATAATATGTTGTATTTATATAGCGCTTAATGCCAACAAGGCCTCTAAGCGCTTCGCATTACTACCCCCATTCATTGCATTAAACGCCTATGGGACACATCCCCCTGGGGGAGTATTCCATAAAGTTGCAGCAGCTACTTCAGCGCATTTTGGCATTTAACCCTACCAGGTACCCATTTATACTCCTGGGTGGAGAGAAGCCAAACCGTTCCTACTGTGCCAAGCCACTTCCACGAAGTGGTTTGTGTGTGGTGCATCCAGAAAATGCAATACAGCAAAGTTGATTACTGTGAATGATCATGTACACAATGCTTTCGTGTGCACTATAAAAGAACTCAGTACATCATTTCGAGAAGAAAGTCATTGATCGACTTACTAGTTCACATACCAAGTGCTATGAGCATCTTGTTTGATGGATACAAGTCTACTATATTATTTTTATTATGTAAGTGCCAAAGAGCTTGGAGGCTTATTCGTCAGAGAAAAAAAAAACATGATTGTAATTTTTACATTAAGACATCTATTGAGTAAGCCTTTCAAATCCCCAAAATTGTCACAAGCTTTGCTTTTGGATATTCTCCCAAGAGATTCTTGGTGGCCCATGGCTTTGCCCACTTATGCTCTAGTTGGGAATTTCATATTACTTATTTTGGTATCATAAAGTGTGTTGAAGATAGGCCCCTGACTTGTGTTAAGGAAATGAGTTGTTTGATGGTGCCTAATGTGAAATGTCAGGCATGTGTAATTGTAGGTTTACCCACACACCTGATCCTCCACGCTCTGTAACTACTGTCTTTTGGTAGTGGAGTCATATTTAACAAATTAAGTGACAGGAAGATGACCATTTTAATAGTTCCACATGATGTAGATATTTTGTTTTGTTTAGTGTTTCACAAACATTTTTTTTTACTGTTAGTGTGAAACGCATTAGTTTTTTTTTTTTTGCATTATGAACTACAGATTAACTTGCCTAACTCAAATAATTTCTAAGTCGAACTTAGTTTACATGCCAAATTGCAGGCTGTGTTTTCCATTATTTAACAATCTGTAAGTCAAATTTTATCTAAGTCGAACAATTTTTCAATGCCATTTTAGATTTGACTTGGGCGGTAACAGCATCTAAGGTTTTCCCCCATAGAATTTTGCATACATCATATATTTTAAGAGTAACGATGGGAAAAAATAATGTAAACCAAACAAGAAGATTCAAAATGCATATGTTTATTTTAATACATCTGTGAGAGCATTATTACAAGGAGGGAATATTGCCAATGGTTCACTAGTTACCTGTCAGGAAAACATTAAATTCACAAGATGTCACCCACAATCATACACCATCCAGGCATCTTGATTCCTGTCGATGTAGAATACTAAACTTTGTTTAAACATCAAGAAAAAAAACAAGGAGGACCTAGTATTAGTCTTATAATTGATGGGGCTTTAACAATTTATCTTATATTTATATTTGTCATTAAAATGATAAAAATACTATATCTACTAAAATTATAAATTATAAAGTATAAATTAGGTTTCATCACAATGCATTGTAAATTATGTACAAATAATAATTGAACAATAAATTAAAATATTCTCTACTACAGGTACTTTACATGGAATTGAGAAAAATATAGGACAGAATACAAATTTGTGTAAAATTATAAGTATACTCAACATTTGGTTTTTATTACCTATTGCGATCTAAATACTTTACTCTGGTCAAACTGATTGCAGTTGTTGCTACCCCTGGTCATTGGATCAAATTTCATCAAAAGAAATGGCTATTGTTACACCAGTTTCAAAACAAAAAAAGTTATTCAATCAGCTTAAAGAAGATATGTAATGTGATTCGTTTGGACTTGAAGTAAACCACTATCTCTATTCTGGAAGAAAACAGTGGAACTTGATTAAAACAAAGTAGGGTGATGTAAAATACATTATTAATAATTAATATCATCTTGATTCTTACCTACTGATTCCAATTTCTAAATATTCTTTTAAAACTATTTTACAGCCTTTTGTTGTCTTAATGATAGCCACTAAAATACTAATATAAAATAAAACACACATTAATACTTAACTATACTGTTTCTTTTTACAACTACTCTTTATAGACACTTTAATATTACAAGTTTAGTTTAATCTTAACTGTATTTTTTTACACAAATAAAAGTAATGATCTAAATTTTTACATAGTCCTTAGGCTGTACAAATTTATACATTTCTGTTTATTGCTTTGAAAATATCATTAATGATATTTCATTCATAAAAAGAGAAGTCTTCATTTGTACTATTTCAGATAATACACAGTATAAAAACAAAATCACTTAAAAATACATAATGGTAAATTGGTTAAGTGCCCATCCTGAAGCTTGGTAAATGCTTTCTTTGAATATAATAAGGATCATAAAATAGTTATAGGACCATAGATTGTTATAGGACCATTGATTGTCTAAGAAACGCGCAGTAGATTAATCGTTTGATATTGTTTTTTAAACTAGCGTGATAATATCACTTTACATTATTTATATAAAAAAAGTTCTGCTTAACCGCAATTATAACGTACACAAATTAATGTAGAAAAGTTGTTTCAAAGAAATCCATATTCTCTCTTGACGAGAATACTAACCACAAGTTGCAAGTGGATGGTTCACATTTTAGAAATGGACCAAAACATAAATTACAGTTGTTAATTTAGTAGAGGCCCAAGGGCAAATGTAAAACAAGCCGCTCAAAATTTACTGGCGGAGGACAATTGAAAAGGAGAGAAATACGCATTGGATGCGAGCCTTGGAATGAAGCCAGTTATATAACCAATGACAGAGTAAATTGAAAATAGTGTACTGAAGTGCAGACTTATAGGCAATTTGGTCCACAGAAGAGAAGAGTAATGTATAGTTGCCAATATATTTAATCACAGAAATTGCCACTGCTCCAGGCCGTAACTTATACTTTATTTTAGGTAATTTTACTGACACTATTCAAGTACAGTACATCCGATTCATTTTCGTGTATTTATTTATCCAACCTTCGAAATACAAATACATAATAAAATAGCTAAAGCAAATATTTTACTAAAGACCTGTCCAGTCTATCAAATTATATTTAGAAAAATCATCATAACCATATATAGGCACATAATGACTATATATGGGCATACAACATTTTTTTTACAATGTGGAAAGATCAGTTGCCCCTGAAAAGCTGGCACATTATCTAAATCAACTTCATCCATTTGAACATAATACACAATAAAAATAATTGGAATTCACACTTGGATTCTGACCACACCATTAAACTGGATCATGGATTTAACAGTATAATGTACATATATCGTTAGTCTTATTTACTTGGTCTGTGTTGAATCACAGATTCAACACAAAAAAAAAATATTTATTTGATTTACTTGATCCATGTTGGAACATAAAGCTGTTTAACGTGTGAGCAACCACTGTGTCAAAATCATAATAAAAAGCTGTTAAATAATTTTTTTCATCATTATGGCAACCGTTTTGTCAGTTGCCAATGTACCTGTTCTTAAATGGCCCCTCTGTATAAAAACTAGTACATAACCTTTTATTCAGTGACCATGCATGGACAGGTGGGCGAGGCTTGTATACGTGATCATTAGAATAAGATGCAAAACTAAGATGCAGTACTTCTGCTATCAATAATCATTTTGATTTGCACCTTCTTACAGATGGGTGGACATATGAGCTGTCAATCAAATGACTAGATAAGATGAAAATGTTTTTGATTTGCTCCATCTTGCAGATGGGAGGGGCTTATGAGCTGTCAGTTAAACCAGATTAGGATGAAATTGTACCTTCTGGGCGGGACTTTATGAGCTGTCAATCAACTGACTAGATCAGGATGAAATACAGTAGTGTATATTAATTTGTCCGTACCTGTAGATGGGTGGGACTAGCTGTGATGATTGCTAATAAGAAATGTTAATATCTTGATTTATGCCAGTAGGCAGAACCACAATGTCAATCAAAAAGACAGGATACTCTACATTTGCATATGAGTGGGTCTATTTTATTGCATATGGGGTGGGGGTGGGGGTGGGTCTGCATTTGGGGTTTTTGCATGGGTAGGTACCCTTTAGAATGCTTGCACACAAGGAGGGCTGTACTATAGAGATTGACCAATCACAATTAATATTCTAACCAAGATATTATTGATGTTCACTACAAATATCTATAAGACACCCCCTAAATAAATTTAATAATACAATGTACACTATATGTATGATATAAACAATTTACACAAAATTTCATAAAATGATGAAGATTATATATACAAGAGTATATATAACAATTTTTCCATCTGTTTCTATATATTATTATCTTTTTTGGTTGCCTAAAAATGTTTTGGGTGCTGTTACTTTCAGATAGAATGAATAATGTGTACAAATACACTCTCTAAAGTTACAGAAATAACTCTAGTAGTCTGTTATTTATTTAGTATTTTATTTGTACTTGTGTACAATGTAGACTTTTAAAGAATAACTACTTCTGCGTTTCTCAATTTAATTATTCACCTTAAATTACTGAAAAGCTTATTTAAGTTTGCATGTCTTCATATGCAATAGAAAATTGCGCAAGACATACAGGACATCATCGCGATCTCGACGTATGTTACCGTTTTGTTCTGAAGCTTCTCGTACAGGATAACTGCGAGAAATGAAGACCTGAACGCACAATGAAACAGATACGCAATCGGTTTGAAGATGCATCATGTATAGATGGTCAAAAAACTACAAGATGCAATTTTCATAATTCAGTTTGAACCAATGATACAATTTTTGCATCTCTTCTCAGGTGATCTTTGTACAAATTTACTTCAGTGTTTAGTTGATATATCTTATATAAATATTTATAAATATATGTATACTAATGTTTTACCTATATATGTATACACATACATTTATATTACATTAACATAAATTAACAGCATGGGTGACACAAAATTTTTACATTTTATGTGTAGTATAAGATATACGTGTATACATATATACATCTAGATGTGTATAAGAGACAGGTCTTATTTACTTGGTCTGTGTTGAATATATACGTATATACATATATATATACGTATATACATATATATATACACGTATATATATATATATATATGTATATTATTTATACTAAATAATATACATTATTATATACCACATATATTCATAGATTCTAGGCATCTGATTGGTTAAAAGTGTAGGTGTAATTTGAATATGCCCGGGGCATAAGTATGCTTCAGCAGTCATTTTTAATTTGTACAATGCAACATAACTAACAATAACATAAGCAAAATGCTAGGTCTGCTGTAGAGGGCGTATCTGCTATTTACCATACAGATCTGACACAGATGAACCGTGGACTATTTCACTAGGCCAAAAATTCTATTTTAACTTATCAAATGCCTAGGATCTATGTCACAATAAATACTGCCAGCTGTTTTTAAGTCATGGTTAAAAATATAGCACCTTGGTGATTTTGAGACTGTTATGTAATGTGCTCCTTGACTTTGTCATGGGGCATTGTACAGTCTCGAGACCACCTTGGGGTATAGTTTTAACTATTACCCTCAAACCACATTCAATATTTGTACATCATATCATATCATCATCATCATATTTGTATCCTGTAACCCAACACCATGCATGGTGCGCCCTCAGGAGGTGCCCCCCCCCCTCTCTTGGCAGCATGGCCATTCTTACCGGTTCTGCGTGAATGTCACGTAAATAAATTCCATCACAAGTTCAGTCGTGTTCATCCTTGGTTTTTCTTGTGTGGTTTATTTGCTTGACATTCACGCAGAACCGGTATGAATGACCATGCTGCCAAGAGAGAGAGGGGGCGGCCTCCTGAGGGCGCACCATGGCATGGAGCAGTGCGATATATCATTGTAGTCACATTAAAAAAATTCCAGATATGCTAAAGCTTGCGCTGACCACATTGTCTTCAGTGACCAAAGTCCAACCTTGTTGTTAGGGCAACAGTCATCGTTAAATCTTAGGTTTCTCTAGTGATGTATCAGCCAACCATTAACTACCATAAGCGTCTCCAACGGCAACCGCTATGATTTTGTATTGGATGGTACAATAACGGCCTCGTTTACTGCAAAAAATAAAAAATGTTTATACATAATTTGGGGTTTATTGTTCCACATATAGATATTTTTTATGATTCAATCGCGCAACATAGTTTAATTGCTGTATGAGTACGCAAATACAAACAACATCAGGCAAATATATTTTTAATGATTTTCATCCAACCAACCAAAATTATACTTCTGCTTATCATCAAAATTAAGTTATGTATTTTTATTTTAAACAATTATCTGAGATAAAGAATTTGTTATGACTGCTATATAGAAAAATTAAGTATTTCAGACATCGTATTTTGGCCCCTGTGATTTTTTGAGACACCTAAGCTTAAATCACACCACTAAGAATGGTACGTAAAAAAGGAAATCCCAAATTTATTGGCAGAGGGAAGGTGAAATCATGACACAAGGCCAATTAAAATTTCACTGCTTTTGAAACCACGTTAAGGTATATTTGAAAGAAAGAAAAAAATAAACCAAATGCACATTTCTTACCTTTATAAACAACAACTCGCTTAGACACTGGACAACTCTCATCCGGGTTCTCTGCAAATATATTTGTTCGTAGCATTCGATTCCCAAGTCCAGATGGCGGACGGAAATTATTCATCATTTTTGCTTTAACGGAATTGTCTATAACACTGTCTTTGGTATCTGTGCGTAGTTCTCGTAGACCATGAGAAAACTGAAAGACAAAAACCGATGATAAACATGTTTTCTCAGACTAATTTTATTTGATCCTTTAAAAGCAAATACATTTGAAACTGTTAAAATAGTTTTAAAATGGTGAAAATTTAAAATACAGTAAAGAAAGTTGTTAAAATCATTAATTGTATCAGTTGATCATTTATTTTAGTTCATTCATTAGATACATGTAGGACCTTGGTGCTTTATATTAAATACAACGGAATGTGCATAGATAAAACAATAATAATCATAATAATGGTAATAATTATAGTAATAAACACCACAATTAATAGCCATAATGATTAATAATAATGATGATAATTAATAACAATAATGTTTTTCTTTAATATATAATTAAACTAAAGATTTGAAGACTAGATGAAATTCTTCCAAGTATAATAAAATAATACAAATAACACAATAATTGATAACACATTTGTTATATATTACGCACTCTCTTCAGTAAACTTTTTCCATTTAAATCTAATGTAAATTAACACATACCAGGAATGCGGAGTGTTGGAGTGTTCTTTAAATCATCGTTAATTGCTAAATACATGGAGCACAAAATGGACACACTTTGACACTAGTTATCCAAAGAATTTGACTTGCTCATTAATCTTGCCTCTAAACTCCTAAACATTGCCAAAGCATACCACTAAAAGCCCTTTATAGGATACTTCAAATTCCAGATTTAGATAGGCTACTGGAATTGGTCACAAATAAACTATGTTGTGTATTTGTTATTTCCTGAAGGTTTGCATGTTGAGTATCGATAACAAAATTGTTACACCTTAGGTAATCACAGGCCAGCTTCTGGTCTTGAAACAAAAAGAGATATGAGATTTTGATTCTCTAAAACATTATCACACTGTTGCTGTTGTACTAATATCATTCAGTGACGTAACCACAGTGCTGTTTTGTTTACGGTAAATATCGTAAGGCGGTCACCTAGGGGCCTCAAACAGGCCCCCCAAATTTGTACAAATTTTTAATCAAGCTCACTTGCATACCAACCTATATATAAAATGGTATTTTATTCAAAAGTAGTTCAGCAACCACTCCATGACACTTGCACTACCTATTCTACTGAAAATTATTAGGGACTTGAACTACCATTTACCAAAATCCAGTGCTATTACTACTATTACGGCCATGTAACCGAACAAACTTGTTCTGTTTCCCGATGGCGAATAAGACCGCAGTTATGTCCGTTTGTGATCTCTACTATAAGTTTGGCACGGAGTTTAGCAAAAAAAATTATACTGCTGTGATGATACAGGACTTGGCAGGGACGTTAACTACCAATTTCACCTGGTATTTCCCACACTTGTGCTACCAAGTTCTCAAAAATACCCCCGTATATATGTGGCACCTACCCGTATAGAAATATTTAAGAGTGAGCCCCCCCCCCCAGGCCATCCAGAAGTGCCAAATTCTAAATTTTCTTACCTCAGCTTCAACCAGGGTGGGACTGAGGTGCTATAGACCCCGGTCCGCAACATTTTTAGCCCACAACCCAAATTATCAAGCACTCAGACGCGACCCATCAAACCCAAAGTCAATAATTCATATCCGTCGTTTTATACGCGTGAGGAATAGGTATTAGAATATACAGCCTACTTCATTTATTTGGCAAAAGATACTATCGCCCGCAAAATCAATTTAATACCACCTAAAAATTAAAATATAGCTTTGAATTACTCATTTAACAAAACCACGCAAGTTATCAAATTTTTAAGTCCATTAAATATTTGTAAAAATTATTGGTTTACAGAATTCTACTATACACAAAATTGTAAGATTTGCTGCCAGAAATTTATGGGTTATGCGAAGACAAAGACACATTGAATTGAAATTTTTGAGCTGAAAGCCAAACACATTGAAATGAACAAAAATAACATCCTGAAGTACAAATGTTTTGATACTACCTGTAGTATATTTTTCAACATCAAACTTTGATTACGCACACGTACAAAACTACACTGATGCATATGCCACACTTCAATTGCACTTTCGTTACTGTAATTTGATTTTGTTTGTCCTCGCTCGTATTAAGTTTTCACGATATGAAGACGTTCTGCGACCCAATCATTAGGTTGCGCCCCATAGGTTGAGGAAAGGTGGTATATACCCTCTACCTGTAAAAGTCCCTCCCTGGGCCCTCTCTATTTCAAATTGTCTGCCATTTATTTCATCTTTAAAACAAGGAACAAGTACATCTAAAATCCCACGATGGAATTGGTGACTGGGACCCAAAAAGCGCCACCAGTCTCAAAAAGTCACAGGGCCCCCAGCCCCATGTTACACAGAACTAAATTTATGAAGCAGTCATAGCTACCAATATGCTCCGTCCCTAGTTTAGTGGTGTAAAGTTCATTGGATGTGATATTTCTATTCAGCATCCCCTCTCCCCTTTTTCAAAATCACACTCATTGTGCTTTATACATATCATGCCTTCTTGGAAAGCATTAATATTCACCCTCAAACTTTAAATACGAAAAAAAACCCATGTATTTAATTTCCTCATCATCTAACGGTTTCTCATGTTTCAGAAACTAAACAGTCCAAATGCTAAAGTTGTAGTATTCCTAAGTATATATCAGATTCATTAGATCATTAATTTAAGATACATATTGTTGGGCTTGATTAACATACTAACAGTGTATCATTAAAAATGACTCCCATTTATATTTCATGAAATCTTATATTAATTCAAAAACTTAATGTTGTTCTTGGAATCATTCCCTGGGGATCATGTTTGTCCCAGAGAAGTCATTTTCGTATTCCACAACAGTAGGATTATACCTCCTTCTTAACATAGTCTTAAATTGGCCAATGCGTGTTTTTTAAAGTAGCACTTAGAAATCCAAAGTGCTTGATTCTGTTCGTTCTGCTCTGCATTTAATGTCGGATGGGAAAATGTCGGATGGGAAAAAATCCACAAATAAATATGCATGTGATAGATTGATTGCTCAGCCATGTTAAGCTCCATTTATACTATCAACATTTTATGTGAAATATATAGGATTTGCCCATTTTAATGTGAATGGGATAAAAAAAAAAAAGCCAATCATTTGAATTGCCATTCTACTCACAACTCGACATAATTGATGTGACATGAATTCTTTTTCAAAACAATAAAAATGTTATCATCAAATTTATAATATGGCAAGTACTGCAGGTTTATACTTTATATATAGTAACATCTGAAATACAACAAAAATGTATTGTTCTGCAAAATAATTCCCAAACATAAAATATGAACAAGTTGAAACAATGGAAAAAAAAATATTTTTCGAAGAGTATATTGCGTTCTTTAAAGCCAGGCTGATAGTCGGTGGCAGTCATTAAAAAAGATACACTGCACATGTCATGTCATCGCGTCCGCCGACAACTGGCTTAACGCATATCTTCCAAAATAAAAATCTAATGGGATAATTTAATTTTAAAAACCGAGCAAAAGGTTTAACAGTTGATCCTACTTAAGTACAGATTACAAGACCCCTTGGATTTTAATGTGTGAAATCCGTCCACTTTAAATGTTTAATAGTCATAAAGAACATTAATCCCATTTAACAAAATGCTCCTTGAAACAAATTATTTTCAGAATAACAATTTTTTTTTCCCACCCCATTACTTACATTTAAAAAAAAAATCTAATGGGATAATTTAATTTTAAAAACCGAGCAAAAGGTTTAACAGTTGATCCTACTTAAGTACAGATTACAAGACCCCTTGGATTTTAATGTGTGAAATCCGTCCACTTTAAATGTTTAATAGTCATAAAGAACATTAATCCCATTTAACAAAATGCTCCTTGAAACAAATTATTTTCAGAATAACAATTTTTTTTTCCCACCCCATTACTTACATTTTAATCATACAGGTACAATTTACTTATTTTTTTTAATAGATTGAGTGTTTCTCACCACTTAGAAATTATTTATGGATGGATTAGCAACTTTAAATGATCAATTTACAAACTAAAATTTCATAGTTTAAATTAATTTTTTCCATCAATTTGAACTTGAGAATATTGTCTTTTGAAGGTCAAGGTTAATATCAATTACATATCTATGTCAAAAGGTTGGAAATGGACAATTATATTTGGTCTTTGAATTTCGCCTGGGGTTATAGAAGAATTTGCCTTGAGTATTTGCTAAATTGTTCTCGTTAATGGAGTAGAATTTAAATAAAGCAAGAATTTTAATAAGGAAAACAAATTATGTGAGATATTATTAGATATTGTCAGTTTTGTTTTGATAGCTTTTGGCAATTATAATTTATTGATGCATTTGGTTAATTTTTTGGATGTATGTGATGGTCAATTTAATAACCTTGGATCTTAAGCAACTTTTCTAGTAGTTTGAGGCTTCCTGGAATTATTGAGTGATTTGTTTGAAGGATTTTTTGAGGGACATGAAAGTATAATGGCAAACCAGAAGCGGAAACCCTAAACAGTCACTAGGAATTTTGCTATAGTTATATATATATATATAATGTTTGAGTAAAATTTTAGTTAGGAAAAATCTGATTTTTTTTATATATTATAAAGATTTATAAATATAATACGGAATTGCTAGTTTAACTGAATTTAGTCATTCCTAAGCATGAAAAAATGTATGTGTTCCACACAAAAAATAAATGCAGATGAATTGTTTGATTTTGCGACAGGTCTGCGAAGAAAAATAGTAGGCGCCGAAAACCTTAGCTTATCCAACACTGCTAGGCTAGGCCTAGCCTTACTTCGATTTAGGTTCTGTTATCACACATAAAAACGGCCGACATGATATTTTCCGTTGCTAGTATTGACACTTGTGAAATATAACATTTCATAGGGATTATTTTAAATCAGTTAAAAAAACTGATTCCGACCGAGATTTTGACACGTAAACAAACATGTCTCAGGCCTACTCGAACGACCGCTTGTGCGAGATGCGAAGTACAAAAACTAATCCCATTAGAGAGGGCACACTTTATTGACTGTATAAAGTA